TAAGAGATTTTTTCAGTTTAATCAAAGGTTTTAATTTTAAATTTTAAAAATATAGTTCTATTAAAACTCATAAATAAGAGTTTTATCACTCATCAAGTCCTATCCAACTCAAATCCAAATTAGTCAGTTACTCAATAAAAAGGAAAATAATAGATACATATACTTAACCGTCTCAATTTTCATTAATATATTGTCTGCCATCCGTACTGTTTGTATTTTTCATGCCTACATTGTGTGTCCTGACATCTAGTATCCACGTGTTTAAAAACAAACCAAAAACACGTCTTCGTGACCTAATAATTATCTCTCCCATATAAAAAACTTAACATAACCTAATAAGCACATTTTTCTTATAAAACACTTCTTATATTATGTTTAGTAGATATAAAGTTCAAATCTCACCTTCAACGACGTGTCTTCTCATGTCATGTTTAGTAGATATAAAATTCATTAAACACTTTTTTTTTTAGAAGACTTCTCATATCATGTTTAACAAATGTAAGGTTAAAATCTCACTTTTAACACATAAAAAAAAAAAAGAAAAAGCACAAAAATATAAAAAGTAAAGAGATTAGCATGACGATATTTTGGCTGTTGCAATAAGTGGGCTTTGATTGAACTTGTCGGAACAAGGGAGCATGGCTTCAATATTTTCTGTTTAATGAATCACCTTGACCCCTTGTTGCCAACTCTAGCAAAGCCAAGTCTAGAAAAGCAACAGAGGAACGGCAAACAGACATTTTGAACAGCAAGATGTCGATGTTCTTCCTCTTTTAGAATAATGGCTAAAAAGAGTCGTACTTAACTATATTGAAAGAAAAAGGAAATGAAACAAATCAACTTGTGTCTCGTGAGATCCAGAAAACATAATTAACAAGGCAAGATGATAAAAAAAGCAATGCCACTGAAGTTTCAACATTACAGAAAGAAAAGACTACACTGCCAGAATTCCCTGGTTTAAATGTTGCACAACATCAATACACTTCAGTCGCCAGATATGATGATGGCCTATCAAAGCAATTAAAGTCTCACCGTAGTTTGAGAGCAGAAGAAAATTTAGCCAAATGGGCAACCAAGTTATGGGTGAATTTTCATGTGCACGTGCAGTGAGTGAAAGTGAGGGAATAAAATGGATCATAGATTTGCATTTTCAATGAAGGCAATGATGTGAAGGAGAAAGAAACAAAAAGGGCACTGGAAAAGATGTAAAAGTGGCAATCTTAATATGGGAACTTATTGCGGATGACCAAGTTTGGGAGTCAGCTTATCCGGTTTGAATAGAAACCACTATCATACGGCGACCTGAGCAGCTGGAATTCTTGAAAATGATTGTCACCATCACCATGGAAGGTTGTTTGGGATGCAGTGGACTGCTGTTCAATCTGCCAGTTTTCAGATAAAGACACAGGAAAACCTTGGGAAATTGTATGCATCATCGGCTGAGAGATATTGGTATTGTTTGCATGCATGGAGTAGTCAAGTGAGCCCTGTTTTGGTTCACATGAATCCCAAGAATCAGTTGACAGAAGAGAGAGAGCACGATGAAGATCTTGGGTCATACCCATATTTGTGGACATTGTTGATTCTTCAACATCTACAAAATTCAATAAGCAAGTTAGCCTGTAAATCAATTAAGACATCTTAAAATGGTGCATCAATACCGAAACACAAATGTTGCCTAAATACAACAATACGAACAGTTACTAAAATTATCCTAGAGATGCGTGATCTCTCAAGCAGTAGCACCATTGCAGGCATGTACATCTTTATTGTGTTCAAACTTTTCTAAACAACTAAATAGGGAAATCATGGCCTAGCTGAGCTAGCTCATCACTATCAACTACATAGACAAATTGCCACTTCCATCAAAGCATCTTCTTAAATCCCACCAGATTCAAGTCTCAATACATTAACCATATTTTATCCTAAAATCAGTTAACCAAACAAAAAATCACATTTTTTTCTACCCACCCCCAAGTCATTCAAATGACAGATACCTTGACCCGTAGTCATTCCACTTTACCGTCAAAATTCCATTTGACATCTCAATTACAATCAAGAAATGCCTAAACTCCCCTCGTAGGTATCAAAGGGCTAAGAGGATGATGGCTCTGACTGTTTAACTTTCAAACAGCATGAGAGCAGTATTACCTATTTTATCTTTTAGCTGAACAATATGAATATCCATGGTAGTAACCACTAACTTATAAAAATGCCCATAGTTAGGGCTCTAGGCAAAAGAAACTAGCCTATTAAATTCTCATTTGTGTTGAAATCTGCACCACAATTGTGCAGGCTGTATGTTACTTACATTATCTACATTATTTTTTACATTGTTTTAATGGCATATTGAGTTATCACTGATGGATTCCAAAGCCAGCCTATTATTATGCTTTTGTTTCCTTCTGAAGCAAATTGGTTCGGTTGCAAGGTTATATAACTTAATCATGCTTCAGTGAATATATCTTATTATGCCAGTATGGTAGGAATTTTTGTATCGAGATAGCAGTATACAGTGATAAATGACTCCATCTACAATGACACAGTAAACAATGCTAGTTTTCTATTAAGAAGATCAAAAACAAACCTTGGTCAAGAACCACAGCACTGCACTTAGCCTTTGGGAGTAAAGATCCATATGAACCATTATTACGCTTTGCAAGAGGATTCAACACATCATTGCCTGGTAGCTGTAGCTCTCCATTAATGCTTCCGACTTTTGGATTAGTATAAACTTTCGTTTGTGTAGGCTTGGAGCCGAATGTGCCTTCCCATGCAAAGTTTTCAACAGGCCTTGTGGGAATAAATGGAACCCTATTCCAAACAAAACTTATCTCGTGCTTCCCACCTGAAAAGGTATAACTTTTGTTATCATCTATGGCCTATTTGTTGCGAAAGTAATTCTAACTGTTAACATATCAGACCAAGAAAAACATATTAGATAAAAGACTCAAAAACCGTTATGGCTTAACTTTTGTGCACCAATAAAACATCTATAAGAGAAGCGAAAAATTAAGATAGAGACATAAACCAGTTTCCGAAAATGAAAAAAATAAAAAAGAAATTTTACCCTTAATGCAGAATCAAGAGAATTTCATTCCAACATTTATGTCAAAATCAAAAAAGTACTTAAAAGTTAAAATGAGCAACATTTGCATTTGACAAATAAATCCAGCTAAACTCAGCCTTGTCTAAAGAAATATATCAGAGTTTCATGTCTGAAACCACTATCATTACCATATGGTGATGCAGAAAGCCTTGCAGCATTGAAAGTTACTGGTTCTGTCTGTGGTTTGCGACGCCTTGCATTGTGATCAGAAAGACGCCTGCGACAGCTTCGCTTCTTCTCATCAAACTCTGACAGCCCATGGAACCTACCAAATCATCATGGAAAAATGCAATTATCATCTCAATGTTATTCGATATTAGCTAGAAACAATAAAATTTTAACTATCAGCTAAGAAGAGATCTCAAGTGTGTAATAAATGAACGTACTTGGTCACAATAATTACAGTACAAAGAATACCTCCATGCAAGATTAAATGCGATTAATTGAAAAAGAAAACTTCTTGGGCATGATTATCCTCTGATATTAAATTACAAGAGTCATAAGAACATTTACCTGCTACACTGCTGGCAAAACCGACGTTCTAGACCACCTACAATGACCTTTGGGCTCTTTGAATGGTTTTCACACACTCTGTGCTTGCGATGGTAATCCTTGGCTGAAGACAGATCTAGGTTACAGCCTTCAACTTGGCAATGTAGAGCATTTGTACTCTGACCACTGGCTTTGGATCTCTTTGCTGGAATAACAGATGATGCAGGCATAGCAGAAGATGAACTCCTAGCATTATTTCCTGCACAAACATCTTCAAAGTATGTTCTTTTACCAAGCTTTAAACCAAGTAATGGCTCACCAGAGCCAACTGAAGCCTCAACAGGTGAAGTGCCAGTTCGCTCAACCTTGGCAAAGTCTTTCTTATGGCCAATATCATTTGGAATACCTTCGAAGCCTTCCAATGTAAATTTGTTCCCATTTACCTCCCCCAAGGATGAAGAATTAATAGATGCTGATTTTGAGCTCTTTGACAAAGAGGCAAGTCCCAAATCAGAGCCAGAACCACCACTACTTCCAGCTCCAAATGCATAGAGAGACCCGGAGTCCATTCCTCCATCAATTTCCCACTCTGTGGACCGTAACTTCCTAGGAATTTCAGTAGTTGATGCATTAAGCATCATCAGGTTCTCCAAGTCCCACTGTAAGGGGGTTTTGACATTCCACTCCATCAGAGAGAAAGAGAATTCATAAATCAATGCATGCAATCTTCTTCAGATAAAACACAGACAGACCCTGGATTCTGAGAGCATCATTACATCAAGGTTCGTATAATTCATTATAGGTAATAAACTAATAAAATAGGCAAAATTGCAAGTCCAGTTATACTAGATCTGAAAATATTAAATATGAAGGAAACTGTAAGTGATTCTAGATAGTGATAGCAGGTAAAACAGCAGATAAAAGAAAGGAAAGTTAAATCTGACAAGTGAAGAACAAAACTTACCTCTGAACCGTATGTCATCTGGCCATTTAAGTTACTCAGAGCTTGTCGGTTGAAAATTTTGCAAATAATCTGTCTGTTTTTGCTTGAAATGGTATTGCTTTTATTCCTTCCCCTCTTTGGTACTAATAACCCAGATTTACACTAACTATACTAATCCCTCCTTGAATTGACCCAACTTGAAAGCTCATGGAAATGCTGAACGGTACACCAGAATAATTCAAGTAATGCAAGTGATCAGTTGCCAATCCATTAAGAATCTATATCTTTCAAAAAACAATTAGTGAAGCAAAGAAATCAAGCTGAATCAATTCAAGCATGTGAATTCAAAACTAGAATACCCGTACAAAACTGTCCCCCTTTAATTTCATTATGTCTGAAAAAAACTAACAGCATAATTCCAAACAATCTACACTATTCTCAAATTCAAGAGCCCTACCCCAGTAAAATCTGTCAATTTCCCCATATTTATTGGAGCACATGCAGTGAATTCCCCCACCCAAATCCTGAAATATAGTCAGTATCCTGAAAAGAGCTACACTTAACCCATCAACCTAATGAAACTAACCAGTAACCACCCAATTCCCAGCATTAACCTACTTCCCTCTTATCTCTCTCTCTCTCTCTCACATCAATAATTTCTATGAAGCATAACAGACAATACAGAAAATGTTCCTGTAGAAAAATCTGTACCCTCGAGCTTCGTCCCCCCCACCCCCAATAATTCACATTCAATTATCTGAGCAACAACACGAAGTAGGTCCTTGACTGAGACCCACAACGACCGATCAAACAGCTGTTAAAATGAAAGACAAAACCCTAACAGACCAGAAATTCAACAGTTCACTGCCAAACAAAAACCCCACAATCACATGTACCTCTTCTCCTCCGTCGTGGTCACTGATGCCAACAACCCACTTCACCTAACCGGAAAAACATTAGAATCAATCAAGAAATTCAACAAATTTAGCACAAAAGTTGTAACTTTTAGTCATCAGACTTTTGTTTTATTGCACTGAAACAGAAAGAACACAATACAAACTAAAACATATCCCTTCACCGAGCAAAACCCATCAAAACTAATGAAAAAAAAGCTTCAATTTTCAAGGGAAGTCCTGGTCCCCTGCCAGGGTTATTAATTTCACAAAAAAATTTCAGGAAAAAAGTCCATTGGTCCCCTTTCTACAGCACCTACACTTCAGCTGGAAATGGAAATGGAAATGGAAATGGGAAAAATTACCAGAGGAAACTAGCAAATAAAAAAGGTTTAACAAGGAAAATCAAGAGGAAGATTAAAAAAAAAAAGCATCTTTCTTCCTTTTCTAAAGTCCAAACGAAACCCCCATCATGGAGGTATCAAGAAAACGATAGCTCAATCTGAGCCGCAAAAACAAGAGCTGTTTCACCATTTTTAGAAATTGGGTTCGGCAGCTCCAGCCCATTATTGCTCTCTCTTTCTCTCTCTCCTTATTTTTTTTTGCTCCCTCCTTTTTTCAAAGAAAATCAAAAACAAAGCAAAACCCACTTCCCATTCTTTTCACACTCACCACAGTTTTCCCGAGAAAATCCAAGATAACAAAGAAAAATTCGTCCTTACCTTACTCAATACTCACCGATCAGATAAATGGAGGAAAAAAGGATGAGAAAAAACGAGCTTGAAAGGGAAAGGAGGAGTCAGTATGAATATAAGGAGGCCGAGAAAATGCAGAGAGGAGAGAGAAAAGTGGTGTTTGGGGAGATGGAAAGTTGGAAAAGATTTGATTTTCTCAAATAGGAAAAGGGAAGGACGTGTGGGATTGCGGAGGGACACAAAACAAGCTCCTTCGGCTGGGTTTTTTTAGATGGTTTTGAAAAGACTGCTTCCTTGTCAGGGTAACCATTGAGTGAGAAATTTCGATGGTCCCGAGTTGGGGGTGGCGAGTCGAGTCGACTCAACGCAGGAGGAAATAATATTAGTTGACCCACTGTAGATTTTGGTCAATGACCTCGAGAGGAATTTCGAGATTCTCATTATGGCTAATTAAACATGAATATAAATAATTGCACTGCTGACTCCTCACCCTGCAGGAAAAAGTCTTTCATCCTGTAGAAAAAAGCTGCAAGCCTGAAATTCCCGTTCTCTTGTGGCAGCAGTAATAGTAAGTTGAACGATGTGTTGGTCTGAATCGACTATAAAAAATTTAATTTTTCTTAAATATCATTTGAGTTGTGTAGGATGAATTTAATTTTAAATTAATTAAAATTTAATATAATTATCTTATACCAATAGGATAATATCAAAAAAGTAATAGTAAGTTGAAAACTTGAAAGTCCATTTTCAAAGAAGGATTTTGATGATTAAAAAGAAGAAAAAACACAGAACGTCCCTCGCTTGTATTATTATTATAAATGGAGAACACATTTGTTGATTTATCTTTGCATTTGACTAGAATTTTTACATTTCAAATTAACATGAGAAATTCTTTATGAGAAAATAATAACCTTTAAATTATAAGGATGTTTTCGTTGATTTATCTTTACATTAGTATATAGAGATACCACCGATGATATGATGTCTTATTGTACTTTGTTATGGAGAAACTTGAAAAAACTAAAAGATTATTAATCATATCTATGTATCTGGGGAAGTATTGTGTGGTACTTGAGTGGAATCGCAAAAAATGTCACTAAATGTGAAGGGCTAGAGAGGTGAATTCCCATAAGCTAGAACTCTAATTCTGATTTATAGGTATCGAGGGAGAAGGGTAGTTTAGAATTCAAACCTCAACTTTATATATATTTCATATTTTGGTAGGGGTATAACCTTTTTAACCGTTAAAAGGCCTTTGATAAACTATTTTTTTTCATTTAGCAAGTAAGCATTTGAGAAAAAATGACCTAAATATAAAACGCAAAATAACCATAAATTTTTTCTTAAATTCCCCTCCATTCTTTTTAGAATCCGAACAATAATTAGGCCACCGACTTCAAAGTAACAAAATGTGAATTGGGTTTTTGGATCAATAGTTGGTTTTGAAATTTTAATATTTAATTTTAATTAATTAAAAATTTAAATTCTATTAATTATTCAAAAAAAAAAAAAACTCCCATTTCTCCATAATTTTTCATGTTATAAAAAAAAAATGTAAACACTTACCTGCCTTCTTTTTTTGCTGTCTGACAGCAAAGTTATTTTTACATCTCTATGTTGATACTTCAAATTTTTTGGATTCATTTTTAGTCATTCAAAGTGATCTTCTGCGTAAAAAGCAATTTAGCATATTTGGCACATACATATCTTTCTTGGTTAGAGAAAGATACCTAGCAAACACATAGCTCAGCTCGTAATTAGGGTTTCATCTCGGACATGTCAATAATACCCATCAATCCCATTTCCCTAAATCTTGGTTTTATTATTCATTTTATTTCTAAATAATTATTATTTTTTAATTTAAATATAAAACTAAAAATAAATAAATAAATTTTAATCAATTAAATTACAATATTCTAAAAACATTAAAATTGAATTAATTAAAAAAATTTTCCCTCCTTTTTCTTTT